CGCAATCCTGGTATTTACCAGCAAGTAAGAGGCATAAAATTAAAGAGCAAGTGCGTGGTGCTTCGTTCCCATTACCATTCCGCCAAAGGTCTGGTGCGACCCAGTTTCATCCAACGATACAAGGCTGCTATAAGGTCAAGGTCACATGAGAGTTTCCTTGCTAAAAGTTTTTTCACTGATTCAAGTCGGCCAAATGATGAAGACATTCTTGCCATGTTAAGGCTCTAAATGAATGCTTACAGCAAACTGGATGCCAGATTCGTGATCAGCGGTTACGAATCGTATAAATAAGCTACCATTCATGTGTCTAGGTAAAAAGAAGGTCATTCGAGGTCACATGAGGTCAACATAAAACTTGAACTTTTCCATGCAAAATATATGTCATTCGACGCGTCTTGACAAGACGAATGCGATAGTACCACTACTGTAGCTCTCGGACCATTTTTGTTAGTTATTTGCGAAACACCAAAACCTCAGCTCAGGGTCGTTGACCTGACCTCTGACCTCAGGTCACCAAAATTATTTTCATACTTTTTTACCAGGGGTGCGGAGCCGGAGCCGGAGCTGGAGCCGGAGCCGCCGGAGCCGGCATATTTTGCCCGGAGCCGGAGCCGGAGCCGGAGCCGTCGAAAAACAGGGCGACTCCGGCTCCTTTTTTTGAAGAGGAAAAATTATTGACCTAGTTCGGTTTGACAGTTCAAGGCAGTAAAACATGCGGTAGTCAAAATATGAAAATAGCCTTGTTATGCAAATACAGAAGGAGCGCGCACCAATCCCATCATCTTGTTTCTTCCACCCGTATTTAATTGCATAGGGGATGTACTGAGCATTGGAGCCGGAGCCGGAGCCGGAGCAGCCGGAGCCGGACCATTTTACTCGGAGCCGAAGCCGGAGCCGGAGTCGCCATCGCATTTCACCCGGAGCCGGAGCCGGAGCCGATTTTTTTCTCTGGAGCCGGAGCCGTCTGAAATTTTCACGGCTCCGCATCCCTGCTTTTTACCCACATCAAACGCCACGCAACCGCTTCTGTTATTTGTCACAATCGTTTTGTCATAATTGTTTCACAATCGTTTTGTTCCATGATATATTATTTGGGCATGTTGGGTAGGGTAAGTCAGGTGACGTCAGGTAAGGTCGATCATCAGGCTATTCTTATTTCGTCTTTACCAACACTGATAGCGTCAGCCCGTGCCGCTGGTCACTACAGCGAAACTTGAGCAGCACACCCAGCGCTACTATCCACTCGCTCCTCAGCTAATTACTTCGACTGCCCGGCTCGGCCCGACCCTGCCCGGCCACCCTACCCGGAACAAATTGGACTCTGCGGGAGGTCGCGGGAGGGACCACAGCTTCAATGGGCCGCCCGACCCTTCATTAGGGGGCGCCACCGGACAGAAGAGTGTATACGGCGGCCAATTTTCACACACATTTTACACACATATTGACAGAACACCGACTTAACAGGACCGACCTCAAAATGGCCCTAGGGCATGTTTAGAGGCCAAGGAACATGGCCCCGGTCTTGGAATTGTCAGGACCGGGTTTTCGGTCCTGACAGGGAAATCGGTCCTGTCGGGTCGGTGTGTATCCCGTCATCGGCCCTGACAAGTGAGTGCTTACACACGCACATACACACACACACACAAACACACAAACACACAAACAAACAAACACACAAACACACAAACACACAAACACACACACAAACACACAAACACACAAACACACAAACACACACACACACACACACACACACACACACACACACACACACACACACACACACACACACACACACACACAAAAACATACTGAGTGGCAACTAGTTCACCAATAACACGAAACAGTTGTGCACTGTTCACCAACAAGAGGCCGAGTACCGCCAGCAAGTGGCGATGTTTACTCATGTGTCATGCTAGGAGCCGACGGAAAAAAGGCGCCGACGAAAAAAAGGCGCCGACGCATGAGTCATTCGAACCGCCGCAGGAAGATGGTACACTTGTTTATACACAGTACAGGTGTCTGGCCCACGAGTCACTGATCCACGGGACTGCAAACGTTTCGTAGAGCGTTTATACATATCGCGCCATCGCTATACTGCTGCGATATGACTATAAACGCACGTCTTTAGAGCTTCGAAATTCATATGAGATGGTATCGTGCAAGGAGACTGTCATCAGCATTTTTTTCTCTCATCAAAATTCTGAGGCATACATTTTTTACTTACTGATGCTTTAACTCGCGCCCTGCTGGGGGGGTTGAACACACCCCTGTGGTTTTTCGCGAATATCTCAAAAAACGGCGGAGCTCCGCGCCGCCGTTTTTGGTACACCTTATCATACATCAATTCTACATTGTGAAATTTTCAAAGCAAGGCCATTCAAGGTCAGTTCACCAGGTCACTTGAAGTGACCTCACCTCATAAAAAGTTTCAATGTCTGCCATAGCTACACCGAGTGACCGATCGCTTTGAAACTGTCAGCGATTGCTAAGAGCAAAACCATGTACAAAATGTATATCTCAGAATTTTGATATCGATGACTTAACCCTCGCCCGTAAACGGTGTTTTCCCACCTTCGCCCATGCAGGGGGGGGGGGGGTGCGACCCCCCTGGTGTTTGAAAACGGAGCGTCGTATAGCTTAGCGGAAAAGACCAACGGATTGCTCTCAACAACCCGGTTTACATAGCATATTTGACGAGGCTCTAGCTCGTTAATTTGGCGATAATTTCGATGCAGTGGTCTTCAAATATTTAGAGGGGATCATTTTGTAAATTGTTCAGCACCATTGGCATCTTTTGCAACATCACGGACGGAGATATAAGCTTGCAACAAACCCTATGTAAACGCGTCTAACGAGATCTCGCGATTGGTTGTATATTTTTTGGTCCTAGGTCAACATTTGACCTACTTATGACCGGTCAAAGGTCAAATTTGCTGAAAAAATCTAACTTTTTCAGATTTCCGTGCCGATTGCGGGAAAATGGTAAGAGATATCGACTTGAAACCTTCACTATCGTGATCCTTGATCAATTCACTATCGTTTGGTGTGTATTTCGATGTCATAACACTAAAAATGATGCGTTGGGAGCATCGGAAGTCTGCAAGGTCATTTGTGCATTGGGTCACGTCAGGCGTGTGACGTCACTGACCTGACCCTGACCCAAAATGAACTACAAGAAACAACCGACGATGCCTGAAATGGATAGCAAATTCGAATTCAGGGCATCAAAATACCCCGAAAAGGCATACAAGTGCAAGAAGTCATTACGGGTCAACCGAGGTCACTGACCTTACCTTAACCTTTAGTAACCTTCAAAATGTCAACGGACATTGTGCCAATGTCAAATCAGCCAGTTGTGATTCTAAAACAATCCATCAGTGTGTCAGGTCAGTCGGCATTTATACCAATGTGAAGCAATCTCCAATTTAGCGTAAATCTGGCCGGAGGTTGTTCCCTTTATGACGTCATAACTCCGTGACCTGACATGACCTTGACAAATATACCAAAAGTTGCGCTAAGGATGCCCCAGAGGGTACTGAAAATATGAGCAGGCTATCTGAAACGTTTCGGCGTGTAGCTAAGAAAAACCTCAGGGGGGGGGGGGGGGGTTGAACACTGTAGCCTACATGGGCGAGGGTTAAGGTCAGGTCAATTTTGCGACCTCCCCATTATAAGTCAATGGGGGAAAATTGAATTGCGCCTCTTTTGGACGAAAGACATTATAAACACTCCCAAACACTGAATTACAAGTGGTTTAGACACACTGAACATGAAAATGGTGTCCGTGACCCCTGTTTATGCCCCTGAGGTCATCTTAGGTCACAAATGGTATCTAACAGTTTTTCGCAAATAACTTTTGATAGAGCGGGCATGCTAGAGCGATGAAAACGCCTTAGATGTCTTCACCTCAACGATACGGATCGACTGATATGCAACATGACCCTTTCCGGTCAGGTCATGAACTTGACATGAGGTCAAATTTTTTAAGTTGACCTTTCAAGGTCAAATTATAGTTCATTCGATGCGTCTTGACGAGAGGAATACGATGCCGGTAAAAGTAAGCTCGTACAAGGCTTGGGTCAAAAGCTATTTCAGAAAAACTGTTTCCGAAAAATAGTTTTTTTTTTTGCAGTTTTTGCCCCCTGCAGGCAAAACTGTTGACGTTAGGTCAAATCTGAGAGGATTATCCAGAAAGGGTGTTAATAGGGCTATCGAATGCGCTTTTCCACGGCGCTGTAGCTCTATTGGTTCCCGAGTTATGCGTTGGCTTCTTGGAAATTGTCGACATTCGACCAGGAAATCGGTGAAATTTTGCTTTCAATGACCTCTGGTGACCTGACCTTTGACCTGAACAAAAAATTGACCGAAGTGATTTCGTCATTATTTTTGACGCTCTTTCGAACGCCGCCTTCCGCGTATCGCTACGTGGCCCAGGAGCCGAGTTAGAAGGGGGGTGTTCAAACACCCCCCAGCAGGGCGTGAAAATCCAGGACCCCCAGCCGGGCGCGGTTTAATGAATTACCGAGAAGTTCAAAGCGATCCATTATTCGGTGTAGTCATGTCAAGCATTGGAACTTATTTTGAATTGAGGTCACCTGACCTGACCTGCTGACCTGACCTTGAGAGACCGTGGTCTAAAATTTCTACTATATGTAATAGAAATATGTAATAGAGATGTTTGATAAGGTTTGCCAGCCAAATCCGCAGGGGGGGGGGGTGTTCAAACACCCCCTCCTAGTAGGCCGCGGGTTAACACTCGAGGCTGCCGCCACTTGGCATGTCATCGGCTGCGTCCGGCGAAGGACAAATGACCTTCGACTTCGTAGTTGAAGTGTAGCGAATATATGTACAATTGCACACTGTTTGTCTAAACGGCAGTGTTCTTTGAACACATGTGCTTACAGAGACCTTTTGGAAAAAGAGTGGGGGAGGGAGGGAGGAAGGGGTGGAGGACACACATCGGGTGTTATTATTGTTATAGGTCGCACTACGCCCCCGGCGTTGGGTATAAAACTAGCTGTTCCCACTTCAGCGACAGTCCTTCGCCCAACAAGCAGTCGACATATCCAAGTAAGTAGACGGGTCAGGTGGACGGCGATCCATCCGTCCTGAACTGACCTGGGGTCACTGGAACGTTTGGGTTTGTCGGAGATGGTAGTGTTGATTTTGAAGTGGTGGTTTACCTGATGAGTTTATGGTGATTGTCGATTTCCGTTCTTTGCCAAAGTCAGGCTTAAACTTAAGGCTTACCTAATACTTTTATAGTATGATACCTATATTTCTAACTTTGGGAAGCCTATCACCTATGAGAACTTAAGTCCACCGGGAATCGCCTGGCATCAAAGTATTTTTCGTTAACTGAACTTGGGAAGGCTGTTAAGGACCCTTTTGGACGTAGGTAGCTGGCTGTAGGTTTGGTCATTGAGTTTCTCTGAACAGCCATTGCTTAATGCTTTTAAGAACTAATTGGAATGAACTTATCCATTTCTAAAACGTGTAAAGCTAAAAAAAGAATATCCTTGTGTTGATACTTGATCAGGGACTAAACGCCTTATCTTCAACACCTTACTTTTTGTCATGTTAACATTATACTTCTTTGTTGCACTGTTCTAGTCAGTAATTTTCCCACGCCATAAAGCTGCGGTACGCATACAGTCACATGTGTTTTTCCATGGGCCCAGTGCACACCCCTGTGACACCCCCCCCCCCCCCCGCTCGCCCGCGACAAACGTAGTTTTTACATGGGCTCCAGTACGCATCCCTGTGACACCCCTCCCCGCTCGTCGCCAGGATGAACGCGCTGGCGCTGTTGCTTCTGGCCGGAGTGGCCTCGGCCCTCCCCGGCAGGCCCGATGCGGATCCCCAGTACGCCACTCCTCCCCCCATTGAGGCGTCGTACGACGCTCCGGCTTCCGCTCGTTACGCGGGGTACGCCACACCCGCCCGCGAGTCGGATACACGTCACATCACTGGTGAGTATATTAGACGAGGGTAACCGCACCGAGCGCGAGCCACCAGCCCGGCAAAGACCAGAACTCAGCCGGGCGAGGGACTCCTTGCTGAGCTACTTGTTCAGGACGCTTTTTACGAACTTTTTGGTGACGAGTTACGATGTCAGTGTAGCTTATCAAATAAAACGTTTCTAAGTCTCATTGTATGTACCGTTTATCTCTACAAAGTCTCTCCATGCCTACCAATATGAGCTACAAATCACCTGCATTCTTTTTTACCTTTCTCTCTTGCCTGCCTCCACGATATGCCGAGTTTCCCTGGGTTTTCTCCTCGTGTTCTCTTCATGCTCTTCGCTTCACACGCTACCCTCTTCTCTCCATGTTTTCAAATCGCCTCTCGCTTTTATGCTTTCTCACAACACTTCACTTACCTTGCGTATCTCTGCAGAAGTTTCGCTTGAGGTCGGATACAAAGCTCTGGGGTAAGGGAGAGTTACCATTATGCGCCCGCTTAACCCTCGGGCCCGTATTGGTGTTTTTCCAGCAGCGAACGTATAAGGGAGGGGGGGTCCGTTGGACCCCCCTCGTCGTTTCGCCCCTGATTGAGCTAGAGCTTCGCGGAAAAAACGAGCGTGTTGCCCGTGACCAGAGGAAGCCGATGATACCCAATTTTAAGGTCCTAGGTCATCGGTTGACCTTCCAGGTCAGGTCAATGACCCAAAAGTCGGGAAAATCGGGACCTGTTAGAAAGTCGTAAAGCGTGGCTGCTATGGGTTTTTTCGGGTTGCAGATCACGAATATCATGTTAGTTTTGATCACAGATGATGTCTTCATGCATTTAGGCCAGGTCGGGTCAGGTCAGGTCAGGTCAACCAGTAAGGGTATTCGTAGTAGGTGGCAACCGCCTCTGACAGCTTCGTAACATGTTATGAAGGTGCCAAAACTACTTCGTAAATGTTCATATGGTTGCTAAATTCGAATTCAGCTAAAAAACTGGCCTAGAAACATGTAAAACTCGAAAAAGTGAACCGAGGTCATCAAAGGTCAATGACCTGACCTGACCTTCCGGTGACCTTGACACACCCCCTAATGCATGGGAGCATTATCATATCCCATGTTTGAACGCTTAAAACCACGAAAAGACTGCAAACGCGCGGCTAATGCGAGCCGACATACGCCGAATCGCGATTCCGCCAAACATGGTCTCGAAAAGTAGGTCACAGGTCAAAGGTCATTAGGGTCAGGGTCATGAAAATTTAAGGGTAGGTGTAAAATTGATTAAAGGGACCCTCCCACCTTAACATTAGTTTTGAGTTGAGATAGCCAAGTTTGCGGCCAGGCTCAGAAACCACCAATCCTGGTCGCAACCCCCGCAGCTTTATGGTGTTCAAGAAATTCCTTCCCTTTACTTGCAGGGTGGGACCAGCGTGGTCCCTATCTCTTAACCATTACGGGAATCTGATGACGTCATCAGGCTTTCGAACGTCCGTAAATGTTTGACTAAAACGTTTTGTAGCACGCGGTGGTATATGCTTCGTTGCGCGCAACAAATGCCGCACTTTTAAATAAAGTCGCTAGGAACAGCGGAGATCCCAAAAAGTAAACAAAAGTAAAAGTCTAATATCTTGAAAACCGGTGAATATTTTTCGATGAAATTTGGTAGATATTCGTTTTCGCTCTTTCTGAACCGAGCGACATCACTTTCATGCCAATTCATAAACTTTTTTGAAGGTGGGAGGGTCCCTTTAACGCGAGGGTACTGAAAGTTTCGTCGCGATCGGCCGCTTTTTACGCGAATTATTCGCGAAAAACCGAGGGGGGGGGGGGGTCCGTTCGACCCCCCCCCTATACGGGCGAGGGTTAAGCAGAAACTCAACCTGTGTTTAAGCAATGTGCCTGGTGAATGCGGTCTCTGCTTAATAATGATCGATGAACATTTTTCTAGTTAAATGTACCTCCACTCTTATAATTAAAGTACATTTCATTGGAACAAATTACGGTTTTCCTAACTTCTGCATAAGGCGCATTTAGGCACAGCACGCCCTAATTGCGCCACGTGAAATAATGCATTAATCTGCGCCCGGCTGGGGGTCCTGGATTTCCACGCCCTGCTGGGGGGGGGGGGTGTTTGAACACCCCCTTCTAACTCGGCTCCTGGGCCACGTAGTGATACGGGGAAGGCGACGTTCGAAAGAGCGCCAAAATAAGGAAGTAATCATTTCGGTCACTTTTTTTGGTCAGGTCAAAGGTCAGGTCACCAGAGGACATTAAGGGCCAAAATTCGCCGATTCATAGGTCAGATGTCGACAACTTTCAACAAAGTGACGCACAGCTCGGAAACTATAAGCAAAGCTCGGACAATTTCCAAGAAGCCAACGCATAACTGGGGAACCAATAGAGCTACAGCGCCGCAGAAAAGCGCACTTGATAGCCCTATTAACGCTCTTTCTGAGTAACGGTTTTGCAGGAGGCAAAAACTGCCAAAATAGCCGATTTTTTCGGAAATCGTTTTTCCGCAATAACTTTTGACTCAAACCTTGCACGAATTTTCTTTGGCAGCAAAATATTGATAATGCTGCACAATAGGCATGTAACGTCTTGTTTTTTGTCTCTCCATACCCGGCACATATGTATACCTACCATAATACTACTAAAATCACTTTTTGCCGCCCTTTCTCACGAACAGCATTAACAGTTCAATACATAAGTAAGCAGGCTCAGGATAAGAAAACACTACATTTTACAAAACCACTCCAAGTACGCGGCTTATAACCTTACGCTGGTGGCGGTATAGGTCGAAAAATATTGTTTTGATAATTGTTATTAATAAATTGTTTTCCAAACACCAATCGACCTATTTGGTTCACAGAAAATGACACCGGCGCAATCAAGATTCCTTTACTACTCAGGTTGGTTCACTAGGGAAATAAAGGCGCCGTGTTGACGTCATCAGAGGAAATCCTTCACGTTCAAATGAAGGGGTCATTTGAATTGCTGATTTTGGCTCGATATAGTCCTATTTTTTTTTTTGTAGTTTCAGCCCCATTTATCGTAATTAGGCGAACTCATTGATACATTGGTACAACTTTTGATGACACATAATCCTTGTTTTTTTCTCCAGCTCGCTCGAGAGATGATGAAATTTGCATGCATGTCTATGGGTGAAGGGAGATTCTACCGCCGTGGTGACGTCACGGTAAAGGGACTCTGCAGATCGTGAACGGGGGCTGGGCGCAATTAGGACTTAGGAGACCGGGCGGAGGTTGGCCACTCTCCCCTACCCCGAGTACCAAAAGAACATCGAGACCGAGGTACGACGCGGTACGCTACGGAGTTCAGAATGAGATATAGACGCACGGCCAATGGGGATTAAGTGGATAGGACAGGAATGGAGGAAGAAAACGAGTGAGAAGAGAGGCACAGTGTTAACCCGCGCCCCGCTGGGGTCTGCCGACCAACGCGCCCTGCGGGGGGGGGGGGGGCAATTTGGCCCCCCTAAGACCTCGAGAACCACGCAACATAGCGACAAGCGGTAAACGGTGTTGGACAGCCCCATCAGGGGACTACCTTGTGACCTAAATTCGTTGACCTAGGTCAAATCGATGACGTCACAGGTCAGGTCAAATGTCGAATATTCACCGTTTACAGGCATTTCAAGAAATGCGTTGTAAAATCGAGTTAAATGCATTTCATTGAAAATCATCGATGAGGAAATGTCCGTCAAACACATATTTTGCTATTTGAGGTCACTGATACCAGGTCAGGTCACAGAAGTCAGGTCACTGAGGGTCACATTATGAAAATATCATGTGATGCATGTTTTATGGTCCATTTTATATGCCAAATACGATTATGTGGGTCAGGCAGTCTTTAGGGTCAGTTTAGATTATGTTTCGGTGAAGGTCAGGTCAAGGTCAGGTCAAGGTCAGGTCAAATTAGGTCAAATTTCAAAGTTGATATTTTGCATAAAATGGGTATCGATTCGATGCAGCTCGTCACGGGGAGTTCATTGGTGGTTTTTGTTTTGCGCTACGTGGTCTAGAATTGCTAAAAATAAGTTGAAAAATATGACGTCATCAATTTTGAACAGTTTTTCGCTATACCTTGGCCAAAAAAAGAGGTATCGATCTAAAATTTGGTATGTATATAGAATAACGCAGGGACTATCACATATATTCCGATTTTTTTCGAAATTCGGATTTTTTTGGATTTTTTTTTAGTTTTGCTAAAAAAAATCAATTTTTTGAATTTTTGGGGGTCAAAATCCAAAAAATTTGAAAATCCGAGATCACAGTTTTGTAGCGCTATCTTTTGTCTACATGACCATATAAAGAACTTTGAAATCACTTGGTAACTGTAGCTTTTGTGAGCGTTTCACGATTTCATATTTTTTGCTCATTTTTGCTCGAACATGACCTCAGTTTGACCTCAATAACTCCTGACCTAAGGTGACCTAAGACTTGAAAGTTAGTATGAAGGTGTCGAATTGATGCCCGGAAAGGTACTGCAAATTTGGCGGCGCTGCGCGCCGCCGTTTTCTTGCTATTTAGGAAAAACCACAGGGGGGGGGGCAAATTGCCCCCCCCCCCCAGCGAGGCGAGGGTTAAGTGAGGGAAACGAAACTGACAAAAGAAAGGGAAAAGTTCTGTGTTTTATGCATAACATCTGGGTATAATCTCCGTTTGGATGACATTTTCAAAGCACTTTTAAGCTCTACATATGTAGATCGCGCGCGGCCGTAAACACATTAACCCTCGCCGGCACGGGGGGGGGGTTGATGCAACCCTCCCTAAGGTTTTTCGCCGAATAACTCGCGTAAAAGGCGGCCGATCGCGACGAAACTTTCAAAACCCTCGCATTGATCAATTTTACACCTACCCTGAAAATTTCATGACCCTGACCCTAATGACCTTTGACCTGTGACCTCTTTTCTGTGACCATGTTTGGCCGAAATCGCGGTTCGGCGCATGTCGGCTCGCATTAGCCGCGCGTTTGCAAGCTTTTCGTGGTTTCAAACGTTCAAACATGTGATTTGATGTTGCTCCCATGCATTAGGGTGGGTGTCAAGGTCACCTGAAGGTCAGGTCAGGTCATTGACCTTTGGTGACCTCGGGTGACCTCGGTTCACTTTTTCGAGTTTTACATGTTTCTAGGCTAGTTTTTGGAGCTGAATTCGAATTGAGCAACCATTTGAACATTTACGAAATAGTTTTGGTGCCTTCGTAACATGTTACGAAGCTGTCCGAGGCGGTTGACTCGTATTACGAATACCCGTCACAACCCCTACCGGTTGACCTGACCTGACCTGACCCGACCTGGTCTAAATACTTAAAGACATCATCTATGATCAAAACTAACACGATATTCGTGATCAGCACCCCGGAAAACCACATAGCAGCCACACTTTACGACTTTCTAACAGGTCCCGATTTTCCCGGTTTTCGGGTCATTGACCTGACCTGGAAGGTCACCCGATGACCTAGGACCTTAAAATTGGGTATCATCGGCTTCCTCTCGTGACGGGCAACATGCTCGTTTTTTCCGCAAAGCTCTATCTCGATCAGGGGCCAAACGCGAGGGGGGGGGGGTCGTACCAACCCCCCCCCCTTGTGCCGTCGAAGGACTCAAAATGGCCTGTGCCGGCGAGGGTTAAGGGAGCACGAAGCGTTAGGTCAGCCAAATGTCTGTCCACAATATTACCGGTCAAACAACTTCACCCATTCCGGTTTTATATACTTACTACTGGATAGTTCATTTAGAGTGCTCAATATCTCTAAATATTCTTTGCTTCCTCTCTTCTAGGACTCCCTCTCTACACATCTGACCGCTGACCCAGTGCTCCCTGTTCTCCTTGCAGGTCTGGACCGCCACCTGGACTACAGGAATATGATCCAGGATGCTCCTGGCTACAGGACTCAATATCAGGACTCAAGGACTGTGGTCCAGGATGTTCCTGGCTACAGGACTCAATATCAGGACTCAACGACTGTGGTCCAGGATGCTCCTGACTATAAGACTGTGGTCCAGGATGCTCCTGGCTACAGGACTCAATATCAGGACTCAAGGACTGTGGTCCAGGATGTTCCTGACTACAGGACTCAGTGGGTTACGGACTATAAGATTGTGGCCCAGGATGTTCCTGACTACAGGACTCAATATCAGGACTCAAGGACTGTGGTCCAGGATGTTCCTGACTACAGGACTCAGTGGGTTACGGACTATAAGACTGTGGCCCAGGATGTTCCTGACTACAGGACTCAATACGTTACGGACTATAAGACTGTGGCCCAGGATGTTCCTGACTACAGGACTCAATACGTTACGGACTATAAGACTGTGGCCCAGGATGTTCCTGACTACAGGACTCAATACGTTACGGACTATAAGACTGTGGCCCAGGATGTTTCTGACTACAGGACTAGGGTCCAGGATGTTTCTGACCACAGGACTCAGTATCAGGACTCAAGGACTGTGGTCCTGGATGTTCCTGGCTACAGGACTGTGGTCCAGGATGCTCCTCGCTACTCGACCGTGATTGCGACCCAGAATGCACTTTAGTTTACGTTCTAGGAAAGGGAAGGTCAAGGTCAAGGAAAAGCAAAAATTCTAACTCGATATTTTGTTTGCATTGAAAGGGTGCCGACTGTCGATTCGATGTAGTTTGTCACGGGGAATGCAGTGGTGGTCTTAGCTTTGCGCCACGTGGTCTAGAACGGCTAAAAATGGAGATTAAAAAATTGGCGTAAACAATTTTTTTGCCATAAGTTTTCTGAAAATTAAGCTAACTCAGACAGACTGAGCTCAGTCAGACTCGGGTAAAACGAGCACATTCGAGAGGTCAAAAATTAACCCACGAGCCGCTGGGGGGGGGGGGCATAAACTTGCCCCCTTTACCTTTTGTAAAATATCTCCGAAACCTGATAAGCTACGTACGCGAAACTTGGCATAGGTTCAAATGAATACCTAGACAATGTTTGAGTAAAGTATGGTGGTTGTAGCACTTTAGATGACGTCACAGTGACGTCATAAAGTTTTGTCGTTTTCCGATATTGACTGTTTCTGATGTCGCTGAGCATGAAACTCAACTGTAAATGAACTAGGCAGCAGCTGCTGACATCCTAAAACATCTAAGTACACTTCCATCTAGTTCCTGACCCCTGACCAATATAATCGGTCATTTATATTCGGTTTCATATATCGGATATATCGTGAGGAAACTGAGAGTCGCAAGTCTATAATTTGACTTCTGACGTCACTGTGACGTCATTTCAAATGGGATCAACACCAAATTTGGACACAACCTTGGCTAGGTATTTAGGAAGATGTGTGCAAAGTTTCGCTTCTCTATCTCGCAAAAGTAAAGGGAAGGGGGTAACTATATGCCCCCCCCCCCCCCAGCGGCCGGCGGGTAGCGCGGAGGCCCAGCGGCCGCCGGGTTAAAACAAGACACCCCTTTTGGCCTCCATCAAACAAAGCATCCTGATGTTCAAATTAACAGCAGCAACGTCTCCATTCAACTTCTTCATGTGTCAAGAGACGGCCCAAACCGAAAGATCTGGATATCAATCTCAACATTCGATGTCTAAAACCAATCGTGAACACTCAAATCTCCTTCTGGCCCCTAATCTGTACCTACTTGTATCTGACTGATGGTCAACTGGCGAGTTGCGACATCGGGTGTGGTTGTGTGTAAATTCGACCGTTGTTGTACGAGGAGTTTTTTTTTTAATTCGGGTTATGGTTAACTTTATTGACTTTTTGTTTTGGATTAGTCATGGACAGCCAAGGTGATGTGTGTTTGTGTGTGTGTCTATCAGTCTGCTGGGAAGAAATATATAGTTTTGCCGGGCGTTATCAGTGGTGTTAGAGGGAGGAAAACCAATGATGGGCTTAGTCTTAACCCGCGCCCCAGTGGCGGTCTCTGCCAACTTCGCCCTAGTGGGGGAGGGCATATGTTACCACCCACCTCTAACTCAAAAATTAAGAGGGCTAGAAAGACGCGGTAAAAAGCAATCGATAGCTCTCAATGCGTACGTTTGTAAATATTTTTTTTGGTCATTTTTTCATCTTGGAGCAATATTGGGGTCACTGGAGGTCATCAAAGGTCAAAATTTGCCAAATGTCATTATATTTTTTCAGAAAACATTCAGGCATCTCAGGAACTATGATAGCTAGAAAAAACGCGTGTAAAAGCAATCGATAGCTTTTAAACTCTTCTTTTGATAAGGTTTCATCAAAATTGATCTCAGGTCAACGGTTAAGCCTCCATAGGTCAAATATTGTGAAAATAGCTGTTTTTGGATAAAACTTTTTCACGAATAACTCTTTAACCAGCAAAGATGAAGAATTGGCAATGGCACTATCGTTTTTCTCTCCTTCAGGCGCTTCGAAACATATATTTTTTACCTGTAAGGGTCAAGGTCAAATTTTGACCTAAGGTCAAGGTCACGTGGTGACCCAAATAGATCATGTTGCATATCATTCGATGCGTCTCGACAAGACAAACACAATGAAGCCATCCTCAGCGTTCTATCTCTTTCCAATCGGGAGTTATTGGCAAAAAGCTGTTTGTAGCGTCAAATGACCTCGGATGACCTTTCTAGAGGCTATCAGCAAAAAGACACCTTGGTCGTCACGGGTGGTCCAAATAATTGTGATTCTAAAATATTTGGACTGTTCCTATGCGTACACACGGATCTAGGGGCATTTTCATTTTTGTCCATTGACTTATAATGGAAAGGTCACGCCACTGTCCTGACCTTAGGTCACGGATATAAAAAATCCGAGATATGCAAATTTTAGATGCCCATAACATCATGCAATCCACCAAGTTTAAAACCTCTCTTACAACCACTGCAGGCTGGACATGATTGCAAACTTTTTTAGGCTTGGTTAGTTAACTTGACCTGGTGACCTGAACTGGCATGACCTGGGGTCAAAAATTTCACACATTGTCCAAAATTAATGTACAGAAAGATACTCCAAGCGGCGCGGCGCTACGCGTCGCAGTTTTCTTTTCACACGCAAAAAACGCGACAGGGTGGTAACACATGCCCCCCCCCCCCTCCCCCCACTGCACGATGGGACCGCGGCCGGAATTAGCGCGACATTGGTGGATTTGCCGACCTTTCCCAAATTTATTTAAACTGTGTCACATAGCTCAGAAATTTCCATGGACCACGAATCTGCAAATATTTTTCGTCCATGGTATACAGCGTCCACGCCACGTCAGCCCAAACACAAAGTTCCGTGACAAGCATCGTAGGCCCGTTTTCGTACGGAGAAAAGTAGCAGCTATAAATGTTATAATGTAGGCAAGAAAAAATCTATATTAGACGGCATTATCAATATTTTCGGGGTCCAGCCTGACAGTTTAGACCATGGGCTTCACGATGGAAAGAAAAACTTTTAGCGAATGTATAAATACGCTTCAAATGTTAAAGGGACTGTCCCACCTTTGCATTAGTTCTGAGTTGAGATAGCCAAGTTGGCGGCCAGGTTCAGAAACCACTATATATCCTGGTCGCAATATCCTCAGTTTCGTGGCGTTAAAGAAATTCGTTCCCTTCATTTGAAAAATGGGCCTTAGCTAAGGCCCTATCTCTTAACTATTAACGGCCATTTGATGACGTCATTACACATTTGCCTTTTGAACGCCTGACACACATTCAAGTGAAGTATCACTTGATTTACGAATAAGCCAATCAGAGACACTCTTGTTATTGTATGAGCCGCGTCATATTTGAGAGCAAATATATTTGCTGCCAAATTTCCCCTCACGTTGACATGAAGTAAATCCTTCATTACGTCACAGATTCGATATAAATGACGTCACGATGAAATATGAAAGTCGCAATATCTAAAAAAGTATACGATGAAAACGCGTAAAAACTTGCAAAATTCCTCAAAATATCATGAGTAACATTTCCGAATCCTAAACGGTACTTTTTTGAAGGTGGGATAGGCCCTTTAAGTTTTCTTAGATGCTTTTCAATTTGTGAGTTAATTTTGCTGTTATAAGTATTCTGGAATGCCGATATAAAAAGTCCCGCTAGGTTCCGCTCTTCTTTTATCGTTATGGTGTTTACCAATCAATTGCCTTTCAGAAAATGTATAGTTCAGCTGCCTCAGTCTGCCACAGCGAAAATGAGGGGCATTGTTTTTACTTCAGGTCGCCGGCGCTGGCCGTGCGCGGTTACCGCGAGTCGGCCGGAAGCTGTGAATAACAGAACCTCAGGAGTTTTACCGCCCCCCCCACACGCTGGCGATAGAGAGCTGACACTTGGCATACCTGACCTTTGGCTGAAGCCGGATCTTTTGACACTAATTAAATTATTGGGTCAGGTCAGGTCACTGACCTATGACGTCATAAGTGAACCTCTGCACGGTCTTCAGATGTCGCAGCTTTGCAACGCCCTCACTGCCAGAGGAGATGTCACAGGGAAATGAAACTTGCAGGATCTAGTACCCATTATAAGTCTCACAACTTGTATATCTCGGATTTTTCCTAAAGGTCATATGAGGTCAGGTCATTTTCGTGACCTCACCTCACCATTATAAGTCAATGGGGAAAAATGAAAACTGCTATTCTGGCGCCGGGAACGATCTCCAACTATCTCAAGCACACATAATCGTGATTTGATGCACTCCTTGCAAGGTTAGATGCGTCACTTTTGCAATGTTGACCTTGCGTGACGTCATTTATGACGTCATCAAGGTCATATTAGTGTTTCGTCAATAACTCTTGATCAAATTGAGCTAGCGAGTCGGGAAAGCCACCAATGGACTCAGGAAGACCTGCCGAATCGAATGATATGCGACATGACCTCTTTCGACCAACTTCGTGACCCGGGGGTGCTGACCTGACCTTGACCTGAGGTCAACACCCCAAGTTGACCTGACCCGAACAAAAAGTATATCATTCGACGCGCCTGAGCGCGAGGCGAACACGATGCTGCCAAAATCGCGGGTCTGCGGCCGTTTTTTGCAAAGCTATTCACCAAAAACTGAACCATACCCTGGGACACTTGACCTGACCTCAGAGGTCACCGGTTGACCTAGGACCTTAAAATCGGGTACCAATCTCTGCGTCTCGTAACGGCGCACCCGCTCGTTTTTTCCACGAAGCGCTAGCTTCACCAGGGGCGAAACGGCGAGGGGGGTCGTACCCGCCCCCCCCCCCCTCGGCCGGCGCGTATGTAGAAAACCAATAGGTCCGGCGAGGGCTATATTTTAGTTTTGCCCGGACATATCCGTACCTGCTTTCGGGGTGTCTGATGCACTTTTCTGACCCGTACTTAAATTGTTATATAGTCATATAGGCCATCAGATTCCCATCATGGTTTTGGTAGTACATTATTTGCTTATCGGAATTTCCGGTGCCGTCATGACCTGACCTGACAGGTGTTGGCTGTTGCCATCTTATCACGTGACCGAACTGAGTCGAGGTCAGCGTAGGTCAACTTATTAATTAATGACTTAATTAAATAAGTACTTAATTAATTAATTAATTAATTAATTAAATAACTAATGATTGATTAATTAAATTTATCAGAAAT